AGTCCCTCGTTGGGAATAACGCAGCGTTGCAGGACGTACACAAACTGCACTACCTGAAGCAGCACGTTACTGGAGAGCCTGAGCAACTCTTGCGCAATTATCCGGTTACCAACGACGGATTTCGCGACGCATGGAGCGCATTGTGCGAGCGGTACGATAATACGCGCCGCCTTGTCAACGCGTACTTGAACTCATTTTTCGACTTGCGACCTATGAAGCAGGAGTCGGCCTCGGAGCTTCGGCGCCTACTTGACCGCACCTCGGAAATACGGTCGTCACTCCGCCAATTGAATCGGCCGGTGGAAACTTGGGACGACGTGTTCGTCAATCGAACCATCTGTCGTTTGGAGGCGGCCTCGCGTCGCGACTGGGAGAAGGCGACAAATAGAGAGCGCGAGCCGGTCTCTTGGGAGGCCTTGGTGGAGTTTCTTGCGTCTCGTCTCCGAGAGCTGGAGGCGATCGACGGAGGTCCTCGCTCCTCCACTGACCGAGGCCGAGGTGCCCTCCTTCCGGGATCCACGAACGAACGTGGACACAGCGTCCGCACGCACCACGTGGCGGAGGCCAAGCGTAGGCCGTGTGCGCACTGCAGGGGGAGCCACCCGCTTTGGGACTGTGCGGCATTTAAGCGACTGGCAACAAAGGTAGGTCGAGAACGAGTGATAGGTTGGGGTCTCTGTTACAATTGTTTGTCACCTCAACACCAGGGAGCCAGTGTCCCTTGGGCCGTCGTTGTCGGGAGTGCGGTCAGCCGCATCATACCCTTATCCACCGCGCGGAAGAAACCACGGGCTCATCCCCTCCAGGTGACACCATCTCCGCCACCGTCTCGGCCACCTCCGTGAGGCGTAACTGGCGTCGGGCTCCTAGACGCGCATTGTTGGCGACCGCGCGCGTGCGTCTCTCTGCCCCCAACGGCCGTTCGACCATGGTCAGGGCTCTCATTGATACAGGGGCGGAGGTCAACCTGGTGTCGGAATCCGTTGTCCAGCGACTCCGGGCTGGTCGGCGAGCTGTGCGCATGGAACTGGCGGGCACGGCGGAAACCTCGTCTCAGGTGGTGCGCGCCATGACCACCCTTCGTCTGTCATCTGCTCAGAGAGAAGTGTGCGAACTACCTCTTAAGGCGTTGGTGCTCCCGAGATTGACGGCGTATAAACCGCCACTCACGTCCATACCCAGTAACTGGACGCACCTGGAGGGTCTGTCGCTTGCAGACGACGTCAAGGGCCTGTCTCGCATTGACGCGGTTCTCGGGGCCGACATCTACGCGAGTATTATAAGGCCTGAAGTGCAACGGGGTGATGTTGACGCGCCCATTGCTCAGTCCACCCGCCTAGGATGGATCCTGATAGGCTCCTTGGGCGGGGAGTCCAGGACGGCTCGGGCCCACTGCCACGTGCTGCGGAGTTTAGACGACGAGCTCGGCTCCCAGCTGCGACGGTTCTGGGAAGTGGAGGAGTTGCCTCCCACTTCTACTCTGACTCAGGAAGAGTTGGCATGCGAGGAGAATTTTCGGGAAACGCATCGCCGAAACAAGGATGGGCGCTACCTAGTGCGCCTACCGCTGAGGGCGGACCCTCGCCTCGAGTTGGCCGACTCGGAGCGCGTAGCGCGGGCGGCACTCCCGCGTCTGGAGCGTCGTCTCGCTACCCAGCCGGAACTACGGGCTGCGTACATCCAGTTTATGGATAAGTATGAGCGGCTGGGACACATAACTCCAGCTTAGTCCAGCCCAGAGGAGGCCCAATACTTCATCCCGCATCACGCGGTCGTGAAACCGTCGATACACCCGACACTCCCGCACTTACTTAATTTCCGTCGCTCAGACGGAGGCGGGCGGTATGTTCCGTACGGGAGCTGTCGTCCGCACGGATCGCGGGCGGCGGGCGGCCGTGCACCAGGCGCGTTCCGCGCGCGGGCGACTACCGCTCGCCGCGGCTTCACGCCGCCGCCGCTACGCGGCAGCGCGCAGAGCCGGGGCCGTTACTCGCGGTTAAATTTCGGTGCGGCGCCTATATAAGACGCCGCGGACGCCGACTCTAAGCTTCTGACTGCGTTAGCGCATCAGGTCACTGTCTCGCTGAGGTATATTCTTTTGCACTATATCTAGCTTCATATTGCCTTCTTGAGTGCGTAAGCACGTTGGGCTCTTGCCTCGCTCGAGGTATACGTGTGCATATCTGTACTGAATATCGCTGCCTTCAGAGTGTCACTGACACGCTGGCATTCGGGTTTAGATTTCGCAGCCTTTTAGAGTGCCCCGCACGTTGGGCTATCGCCTCTAGAGTGTCCGAGGACACGTTGGCGTTTGGGCTACGAAGTGTATGTAACTCCACGGATCTCCACCTTCTTAATACGATCGAGGATTGAGAGAAGGCTTCGCGCGATCACTTCGGATTGCCTTGACGCTTCCACCGCGGTGGACGTCTCTCTTCGCGACTTCGCCCGTATTGCATATACCGGGTATTAACGCCGCCAGAGCTCATTGCGATCGAGCTCCCGACTCCGCGCGAGTCGTCGTTGTACGCAGGAACTCTGCTGCCAGGGACGCAGCATATACACGCGAGCCTAGCTCGCCTTCACGTCCGCACAGGACTTAGTCGCTGCCAGAGCCGCAGCATATCCACGCGAGCCACGCTCGTATTTACGTCCGCCTAGGACTTAGCCGCTGCCAGAGACGCAGCATATACACGCGAGTCTAGGTCGCCTTCACGTCCGCACAGGACTTAGTCGCTGCCAGAGCCGCAGCATATCCACGCGAGCCACGCTCGTATTTACGTCCGCCTAGGACTTAGCCGCTGCCAGAGACGCAGCATATACACGCGAGCCTAGCTCGCCTTCACGTCCGCGCAAGATTTAGCCGCTGCCAGAGACGCAGCATATACACGCGAGTCTAGGTCGCCTTCACGTCCGCACAGGACTTAGTCGCTGCCAGAGCCGCAGCATATCCACGCGAGCCACGCTCGTATTTACGTCCGCCTAGGATTTAGCCGCTGCCAGAGACGCAGCATATACACGCGAGCCTAGCTCGCCTTCACGTCCGCGCAAGACTTAGCCGCTGCCAGAAAGGCAATAAGTCGACGGAGAAAAGCTAGAATCGCCGTCAGGACGACTAGGAAGGTGGAAATTTGAGCTTCAACAGTACAATTTCGAGATCAAATATCGAAAAGGAAGCTCAAATAAAGTAGCAGACGCATTATCACGGCAACCCGAAATAGCCGCCATACAGACGGATATAAAATGTAAATGGTACCGACAAAAGTACAGCGAGACAGAGGCACACCCACAGAAAGTACCAGATTACGAAATCCGTCAGGGCACGTTATACCGACACATTCTCCATAGCCTGGACTTTAAAGAAACACCAAGTAAAGAACAATGGAAAAGATGCATACCACAAGAGGAAAGATTGGAGATCCTACATGCGTACCATGACGACCCAACGGCAGGACACCTGGGCACCGCAAAAACCATAAGCAGAATAGCACGGTTATATTACTGGCCAGGTATGTTCACAGAGATAAAAAGATATGT